AACAATGAGAAAATTCCCGTGTCACACTACTCAACAACCAGCCTTTATATAGCTCCTACACAGTTTTGAGCATTCTAGCAAAGCTAGGCTCCCTCATTATTCTCTCAGAACGATGCAGGACTTTCTCGAACACACAACATGATGAAAGCCAGAAATCAAAACAAAAGATTGCCAAGGGCAGGTAATTCTGAAGCGTTATCTCAAAAAGGTGTACCGCTAAAAATACTATTGCCCACACTCAACACTATAAACATTGTGACCCATAATAACTATCACTTAATCAATGTGATATTACAAATTGCAGAAAACACACTCTCATAACACTTGTCTGTCATGGAGACCAGGGCGGTGGGATAGCCTAGTGGTTAAAGTGTTTCCTCATCACGCCGAAGACCCAGGTTCGATTCCCCACATGGGTACAATGTGTGAAGGCCGTTTCTGGTGTACACTGCTATGATATTGCTGGAATTTTGCTGACAGCGGCTTAAAAATAAACTCACTCACTCACTCTGAGACAATGGATGGTGAAGCTTTGACTCAATGATGCATGTGGGTTTGTTAAACATACCTACACAATTGGTATCTTTTTAACACCCTCATAGCTGAGATATGTGAACTGACATTTTTCAGCCTTTTCTTTAAATTATCATTTCAAAGTATGCAAGCGTGTGTATTTTGTAAAGTCGTCAGATATATGACTTTTCATAAAATCAAGGCTAATGTATGTGTAATTTTTCAAGTTGTTTATGAAGCTTCAACCACAATTGTCACGGATCAAGGAAGTGCAGTCTTATTTTCTAAAATGATTTTGACCTTTCCAGTCACTATCTACAGATTGTCTTATTACGATAGGCATATATTTACCACTAATGGATGTGTCAGGATTTGGCCATAAAATACTGACTTAAAATCGATGTCACATGACCATTTATTGACATTATCTCTCATGTTTACCAGTTAAAAAAAGCGATTTAAACTTCTATAGCTGTAATTAATACCTGCCAGTGTGGACTGCATGCTTTTAGCCTCTCGGGAATGAATCAATAACAAACAGAGATGACATGGGGTGCTCGAAACACTTCAAGGTCACCCCGACCCACTGGTGGGACAGTCGCATTCATTGAACAAAATACTCATGGGGATATGCGGTACAAAGACCCAGAACTTGGTCAAAAGGGGGAACTACATTACAGTTAATGCTTGTTAATGCTGTCAACATATCAAAAACAAAACATTTTAAAAATTGCTTTTTTAGCAAAATTCCAGCAATATCAAAGCAGGGGGGGCACGAGAAATGGGATTCACACATTGTACCTAGGTCTTCAGTGTGATGAGCGAATGCTTTAACCACTAGTCTACCCCATCAACCCTCCTATTTAAGAGTGAGTGAGTGAGTGAAGTTTTATGCAGCTTTTAGCAATATATCATGGCGGGGGACACCAGAAATGGGCTTCACACATTGTACCCATGGTAAAATCAAACCCGGGTCTTCGCTGTGATGAGCGAAGGCTTTAATCACCAGGCTACCCCACCGCCACTCCTAACTGTGGGTTAACAAGATGATTATCTCCCATTTGACAGACACCCAATTGACAGACACTGAACTAGAAGGTTAATTAGGGTAACACCTATGGGTATAATGGAACAGTCCACTGTGTAGTGAGTAGAGCAGGGTGAGCCTGAAACAGGTTTGTTACTGAGAAGTTTGATTGTAGGTAAATAGAACTTTGTTGTGATTAAATGATTTCTCTTCTCAAAATTGATTTTACTATCAATTACTATCGAATGTAAAAACAGGTTTGTCACTGAGAGTTTTGATTGTGTTTATTGATAGAAAAGACCCCTCCCAATAATAGCATATGTACAACAGAAGTTAATTGAGAAAACATTTTGTTGGAGAGATACAGATATGTACATATTTGAAAACATTCTGATTTGCAGTAAATGAGACACCTGCATTGCCATGTAAGATACGATTAATACCAATCAGTGTTCTAATTTCAACAATCCTTTCTAAAGATTGTAACAGTTTATGTCTTTGAGTAGTATACAACGGACATTCAAGGAAGTAATGAAAAACATTCTCACACCCATGGCCACATTGACATGATGCGTCATATTTTAAATATTTATTCTAAAATACATGTAGGTGTTTGGCGGTCCTGCTGTGTTGTTAGGCTAAGTTATAAAACTTCTCTCCTGTCTGTCAGTACTGATTCAAACAAGGCGGGGTTAGTCACAACCATGTTTGAATAAATGCAACAGCTTGGATTTAGTGATCCTTGATTCAATGATTTGATTATTTCTGCCTGCTAATTTCATTAAACCACAAGCTGACCTAAACAATGTTGACCTGTCCCATATATCCATGGACATTTTAAATGTCCATATATCAGATTCAGAACAAAACACTGGCTCATACAAAGCTTCAATACCTGAAAATCACCACCATTACTCCCACGTCCCGACTACATCTTGCACAATGAGAAATTCCCCAGCCCTGGGGTTTGATATCATGTTACAATGTACACAAATACGGTTAAATGTTAAAATATGCCCGATATATTTCAAATGTCTAGAACTCAAGAGAGATTTTGTCTGACGTACAGTCAAAAAAGTTCATGTTTGTTGTTGTTGATGGGCCTACTTGTCTCTCAATGTTTGGAGGACATGTTCAAATTTAAATCCTGACTTCAAGCTAAAGTCAGATCTATAATGAATAGATTGGAGCCTAAATAGGACAGACTGCCATGATGGAGTTGCTGCTGATTATTTTTCAACATAATGGCCTCTGAGGTCCACATAGACTAAGGATAGTCTCTGAATATACATATATGTATATATAAATTTTGATAGAAACAAACAATTCCTTTTAAATTGAAAAGGAGCCCCAGTCTCAGAGAAGGGAGATTTAACCTTAGGAAATCTAGACTTGCTTCATTTAGGGCTTTAGCATTGCAGAAAGGGCTGGGCAGAAGTGAACTTATAGTCTGTTTGCAGTGAAAACGTACCGATGAATTTCAATTTAAACAAAAAAGTATATCGGATAAAGTAGAATTATGATTGCGAATCCTCATAATTTTATCTTGCCAAATGAACATTAAAATCTCAGAATTTTATTCAACTTAGGATAAAAGTTGTTTAACAAACTATCATAGTTTCAAATCGCTATTATTGGTTTGTATTACAAGGGTGTATGCACATCAAATGAAACACAGAGAACAAGTAGAGTTGGTCTAAGTTAACGCTCATCACGAACCGCACGTGCATTTGTTTCACTGTTCCATCTACTGCTCTTGCCCCCCTTGCAAACAGACTATAATGTGGTTTAGGGACTGTGAGACAGACTGAGATTCACACAGGGTCTGGATTCTTCTCAAGAAGTCCTCCACAGTGGACATGAAACTGTCATTGCATATGACAGTTTTATCTTCAACTTTAGGAAGAGATTGAAGTCTGGCTGTGAAAAATCTGGTGAATACCTAAGATGTTTGAGTTTAAAGTCATTGCCATTCATTGTAACCATGGTAACAGTGGACTTGTGCCCATGGCCATTGTCCTCTTGGAGCAATTTACATTTAGTCAGTTTTTCCCTCAGCTTTCATATCTTTTTGTCTGATTTTGACATATTCCTTAGTGGTGGAAGTTGATCTTCCTGATTTTGGAAAAAAAATTAGGTTTTGTCTGCCATTCTTGAAATCCACCATCTATATCTTAGCAGAGGCAAAGGGAAGGAACATCATCCACTAAAGTTGGCTCAATATTGCAGATTCATGTTCAACATCGTAGGAAATGTGGCACTTTAATGCCTGCAGAAATATGTACTTAATACTTGCAAACTGTACAGAGTGTAGTATGCATCCTTTTTAACCTCTGAACTTTCTGACTGTGAAGAATATGGTGAATACGAAAATTGTTTCAGTTTAGAGTCATTGTCATGCATTGTAGCCATGGCAACAGTAGACTAATGTGTACAGGGGCATTGTCCTGGTGGAACAAGTTACACTCAGTCAGCTTTTAACACAGCCGTAAAATTCACAAGCCAGAGTCAAATATCAAATATCGGACATTAATGGTTGGATTTCAGGGAGGTAGGTCACCTGTAGGATTATTTTGGAATCACAGTATAAGGAAGACATCACTAGACAGCTGACAAAACCCACTTTGTTTCTTTAGATGTACACTTCCACCGCCGTTGTTTAGTAATCAGCTGGGGCGGTGGAGTAGCCTAGCGGTTAAAGCGTTCACTCGTCACGGCGAAGGCCTGGGTTCGATTCCCCACATGGGTACAATGTGTGAAGCCCATTTGTGGCGTCCCCCATCGTAATATTGCTAAAACCCAACTCACTGACTCACTCACTCCCTCACTAGTAATCAGCTTCATCTACCTCCTTCAGGAGGGGGTAAATTCTCATGAGAGATGAGGAAGCTTGAGTATTTCTGATCAGGAGTCAAAAACTAAAATGCTTAGTTCACTCTCTCATTGGACATGCCTACTGTAATTGCTATATGATGTCTGTTGTGTCGTCATCATCCATGAACATATATAATATCAGATTATGGACATTTTCCTCAGTGGTGGAAGTTAGACCATTTTGTCACTTAATTGCCTGCAGATTTATTTACTTAATACTGGCAAACTGTAATGAGTGTGGTATGCATGCTTTTTAGGTTAACTCAGAACTACCCCTTCAGTCCTATTGTGAGGTTGTTCCCGGTATTTGGACAGCATCGCACAAACGCAACCATCATCAACAATAGCGTGCGCCTGCAGGTGGACTCATCAACGGTGACGTGTGATTGTTTCTCAATTGTATTCAGTCTCGTCTTTGTCTTCGTCAAGTAAACGTCTCTTATTTGTACATCTGTGTTGCATGTTTTGTTGGCCTGGAGACCTTACACTATTTATAGATTTACTTGGAATATTTTTTGTTTCAGTAAAAACTAAAGATCAGTTGTCACCTGAGTAGTCCCATCTGTTTGAAGGGTTTTACCAATCTGGAGGACTTATATTTTCTATTTGCACTTGACTATGTACGGGCACTTGCTACTGGGAGCAGTGCTGCTCTCGCTAGCTTCCTTCGGTGCAGGGCAGTTGGAGAACAATTGTTCGATCGAGAACACTCAAGGATGCCGCCTAGCAAGGCCACCGTAAGTGGTTACTTTATTCAATTCATTAATGAACAGATCATATATAATAAAAGTTTTGATGTGGCTATACTAAGAATTTTAAATTTGTTAAATATTTTTACGAAACTAAAATTTTATAACCATTTTTACCATATGCAGCTTTTTAAGAATGCTGATAAAATTCTTGATATCAAATCTAAGTTTAAAAATGAGGTTGTTGAGATTGCAACCAAATTCATCATTTGGAAAAACAGAAATTGAACAGAATACTGAATCTGATATCTATAACAATGAAAACATGCATTCTAGTCTTCCTGTGAAGATCCAGGTAAGAATCAGTTTTCAGCAACCCATGCTTGTCATAACGGGGTCAGGTGGTCTGACTCGCTGACTTGGGAGATGCAGGTTGTCAATCACTGGATTATCTGGTGCATATAGCAAGAATATTGCTGCTGTGTTAAACAAACAAACATGCTAAAGTACTGTCGGAAATGCTAGAAAAATGCTTTTTAGCCTTAATATCTTTATAAAGGTGATACATTTACTATGTTGTCAATATATCAACTCGCCTATTGTCTACCTATTTTTTATGTCAACCGATTTAACATTCCCATGCATTTAAAGGGCAGTTTACAGGAGAGAATTTGGTACCAAAACAGCAACTTCAGATTTTTTCAGAGTTCAACAACAGAAATCTGAAATAGTCTTTACATTTATGCTAATAATACAGGTGGTGTAAAAATATGAATTAACGTTTTTCCTAAACAAATAAATGTTGATTGTTTGTGTTACTTTACTTAATTATCGTTTCTTTATTGAAGAAATATTAATATAAATGTTAAGTCTTGATAAATAAGTTTCCCGTCATGCATGCACATTTTTATCACAGCGTCCACTATGGCCAACGATTTGCAGTCGATTGTTGCAAAGGTTTATAGTTTTTTTTCTGCTTAAAAAAGACAGAGGTAAACCTTTCATTAGTTTAGAAAGGGTTTATTACAGAACCTGTAGAGCTGTTGGCATGTCTTACCAACAAGTTTACAATATTGTAAACAAATCAGACAAGAGAGGGACCGTCTCAAATGCAAAACCGGGACGTAAAACCATCCTTGACAACTTTGACAAGGGAGTGCTTAGACGGGCGGTCTACAAACTTTATGAGAAGAAAAATATATATATTCTAAAGAAGCTACACCAGTGACTTCGTTAAATCTTTGGCCAATGTTCACAACTAGATTAAAGTGACCGAATTATATCACTAATTTTTTCAATGAAATATACTGTTGACATGCAAAACATTTATTAAAACGTTGCACATTTCTACAATCAGTCGATAAGATAACACAAGTGATAGGATTCTTTCCAATGTACAGTAATTCGTATGTTTATTTCAAAACAAATACACATACACAAATGATCCCTTACATAACCGATACGTATACTATACGTACACATATTCAACATTTTGCAGAAAACATATATTGAGATGACCCCTCGCCCGAGTGTGTGCTTAGGTGTCAATTTCACCTGTCGATACCGTGCATGCAGATGACGTAACACAGGCAGTTAATGTTTGTATCAAATAACGTCCCACTACCCCTTATTTTTCTAAGTTTTTGGTATTTTCATCAGTAAAATCACATTTTAGAACATGTCTCAAAATTTATTCCCTCGGTCTACATTAGGTAGATGTTTCTTGAAGTGATATTTGTTATTTAAGTAACTGTAATACCTCTGAATTTTACATAAAAGTCAAAAAGCATTTTTCTAGCAGTTCAGACAGTACTTTAGTCGTGTATTTCTCAGACAATATTTGACGGAAGCAAAACATAGAATATCTCAACATCTTTATGTGCTTAGTCATGTTGATGTTTCCATGGTCACCATCTTGTCAACAGACCATTTGAGGATGATGTATGTACAACACAACATTTTAACATACTTTATGTTGAATTAGGTTTCTACATAGACCTTATCAGGTGATCTATGGTGATGTTTCTCTTTGTTTCAGTATTTACATGATCCTGGCACCGAAACGGGTGAGACCTAATCAGGTGATCTATGGTGATGTTCCTCTTTGTTTCAGTATTTACATGATCCTGGCACCAAAGCGGGTGAGACCTAATCAGGTGATCTATGGTGATGTTTCTCTTTGTTTCAGTATTTACATGATCCTGGCACCAAAGCGGGTGAGACCTAATCAGGTGATCCATGGTGATGTTTCTCTTTATTTCAGTATTTATATGATCCTGGCACCGAAATGGGTGAGACCTAATCAGGTGATCCATGGTGATGTTCCTCTTTGTTTCAGTATTTACATGATCCTGGCACCGAAATGGGTGAGACCTAATCAGGTGATCTATGGTGATGTTCCTCTTTGTTTCAGTATTTACATGATCCTGGCACCGAAACGGGTGAGACCTAATCAGGTGATCTATGGTGATGTTTCTCTTTGTTTCAGTATTTACATGATCCTGGCACCAAAGCGGGTGAGACCTAATCAGGTGATCTATGGTGATGTTCCTCCTTTGTTTGTTTCAGTATTTACATGATCCTGGCACCTTGAAAACGGGTGAGACCTAATCAGGTGATCCATGGTGATGTTTCTCTTTATTTCAGTATTTATATGATCCTGGCACCGAAATGGGTGAGACCTAATCAGGTGATCCATGGTGATGTTCCTCTTTGTTTCAGTATTTACATGATCCTGGCACCGAAATGGGTGAGACCTAATCAGGTGATCTATGGTGATGTTCTCTCTTTGATTTCAGTGAGATTTACATGATCCTGATGCACTTGTTTGAAACGGGTGAGACCTAATCAGGTGATCCATGGTGATGTTTCTCTTTGTTTCAGTATTTACATGATCCTGGCACGGGTGAAATCGGGTGATGGTGATGTTCCCTAATCAGGTGATCCATGGTGATGTTCTAATCAGGTTTCAGTTGTTTCAGTATTTACATGATCCTGGCACGAAACGGGTGAGACCTAATCAGGTGATCCATGGTGATGTTCCTCTTTGTTTCAGTATTTACATGATCCTGGCACCGAAACGGGTGAGACCTAATCAGGTGATCCATGGTGATGTTTCAGTATTTACATGATTGGCACCGAAGCCGGTGAGACCTAATCAGGTGATCCATGATCTTTGTTTCAGTATTTACATGAAGCGGGTGAGACCTAATCAGGTGATCCATGGTGATGTTCCTCCTTGTTTCAGTATTTCATGATCCTGTTAATCAGTGATCCATGGTGATGTTCCTCATGTTTCAGTATTTACATGATCCTCCTGTGCACGAATTTACATGATCCTGGCAATCGGGAAGCGGGTGAGACGGGTGAGACCTAATCAGGTGATCCATGGTGATGTTTCTCTTTGTTTCAGTATTTACATGATCCTGGCACCAAAGCGGGTGAGACCTAATCAGGTGATCCATGGTGATGTTTCTCTTTGTTTCAGTATTTATATGATCCTGGCACCGAAACGGGTGAGACCTAATCAGGTGATCTATGGTGATGATCCTCTTTGTTTCAGTATTTACATGATCCTGGCACCGAAACGGGTGAGACCTAATCAGGTGATCCAGATGTTTACTACCATCCTGAAGCTGGAATATACACACGTTAATGTCCGAATATCCATCGTCAAGGAGAACATTGAATACACTGGGACTGTGATGAAGTTTGAGAGGCCGTCCAGCAGGATAATGCAGTTGCAGGTATGTTGTTTGGATCTCAGTTACACACCAGGATGGGGGACAGGTGACAGGTGAGCCAGTGGTCTGAGGGGTACAGCTACAGGTATGTTGTTTGGATCTCAGTTACACACCTGGATGGGGGACAGGTGAGCCAGTGGTCTGAGGGGGATAGCTACAGGTATGTTGTTTGGATCTCAGTTACACACCTGGACGGGTGACAGGTGAGCCAGTGGTCTGACGGGGATAGCTACAGGTATGTTGTTTGGATCTCAGTTACACACCTGGATGGGGGACAGTTGACCCAGTGGTCTGGGGGGGATAGCTACAGGTATGTTGTTTGGATCTCAGTTACACACCTGGATGGGGGACAGGTGAGCCAGTGGTCTGACGGGGATAGCTACAGGTATGTTGTTTGGATCTCAGTAACACACCAGGATAGGGGACATGTGACAGGTGACAGGTGAGCCAGTGGTCTGAGGGGTACAGCTACAGGTATGTTGTTTGGATTTCAGTTACACACCTGGATGGGGGACAGGTGACAGGTGAGCCAGTGGTCTGAGGGGTACAGCTACAGGTATGTTGTTTTGATCTCAGTTACACACCTGGATGGGGGACAGGTGAGCCAGTGGTCTGAGGGGTACAGGTACAGGTATGTTGTTTGGATCTCAGTAACACACCAGGATGGGGGACATGTGACAGGTGACAGGTGAGCCAGTGGTCTGAGGGGTACAGGTACAGGTATGTTGTTTGGATCTCAGTAACACACCAGGATGGGGGACATGTGACAGGTGACAGGTGAGCCAGTGGTCTGAGGGGTACAGCTACAGTTATGTTGTTTGGATCTCAGTTACACACCTGGATGGGGGACAGGTGACAGGTGAGCCAGTGGTCTGAGGGGTACAGCTACAGTTATGTTGTTTGGATCTCAGTTACACACCTGGATGGGGACAAGTGACCCAGTGGTCTGGGGGGTACAGCTACAGGTATGTTGTTTGGATCTCAGTTACACACCTGGATGGGGGACAGTTGAGCCAGTGGTCTGAGGGGTACAGCTACAGGTATGTTGTTTGGATCTCAGTAACACACCAGGAAGGGGGACAGGTGAGCCAGTGGTCTGAGGGGTACAGCTACAGGTATGTTGTTTGGATCTCAGTAACACACCAGGATTGGGGACATGTGACAAGTGGTCTGAGGGGGATAGCTACAGGTATGTTGTTTGGATCTCAGTCACACACCAGGATGGGGGACATGTGACAGGTGAGCCAGTGGTCTGAGGGGTACAGCTACAGGTATGTTGTTTGGATCTCAGTAACTCACCAGGATGGGGAACATGTGACAAGTGGTCTGAGGGGTACAGCTACAGGTATGTTGTTTGGATCTCAGTAACACACCTGGACAGCTGACAGGTGACACAATGGTTTTAGTGGGACAAGTAGTATATGTTTGTCTCTCAATCTCCATTGATGTTTTAACACATCTGAATGAGGCACTGCAAGTCATTGTGCATAGTTCTGTTCCTTTGTTGTGCCCGGATACACTGCCCTGCTATGACCGTTTTACTGTACAAGACCATGTCACCACTACACATGGGTTATGCCCTAGTGTGGAATATGTACAGACTATGTTCCACAATTTGGTTCATTTTGTCCTCGATCAATCAGCATAAATTCAGGAACTGACCTCCACAGATAAAATGTACCTCCATGTTTGCAGATGCCACAAAATGCACAAGCTGGGCAGTACAGACTCAGGGTGGAGGGAACTCTCAATGGCAGCACAAGTGGTTACATATTCCACAATGAGACCGACATTGAGTTCGACACCAAACAAGCCTCTCTCTTCATCCAGATGAGCAAGCCAATATACAGACAAGGACAGATGGGTAAGTGACTAGAGTTGTCTCCCATTGCTCACAGTTATCTACCGGTTATCTGTGTTCTCTTGGATTACAAGTTTGGCTATAGTTCAGTTTCCAAAATAATGTGATATCATTTGGAAAATGATCCTGAGTATTGCTGGGTTTTATTTCAGTTCAATTCCGAGTAATTCCTGTTCTTCCTGACATGATGCCCAAATATGGTAATATGACGATATATGTTGAGGTGAGTGTTGACATTTAGTTTGGAATATAGTTTATTTGTGGTATTATTTTCTTATTTAAGGCATGTTTCAGGAAATGGTTTATTGAAGTTCTCTCTGTTATGATTGACTGACAAAAGCAGTTCTGATAACTATTGAATAAGATGTGTTATGTTTACAGGATCCAACTGGAATTCCTGTGAGAAGATGGCTGGGTTTGCAGACAAATGCAGGAGGTATGACAATATTGTGTAACATGAAGTCCAAGGGAGATAACTCATGATTCTATCGCCATAGTGATTTGTAGGACTGGTTCTGTGGAACACACTCGGTAACATATCAATGAGATCAGTCATCAGCAACATACCTTTTAACAGATACATTGGTACCTTACTAAATGACTGTCTGACAGTGTGTATGGTGACTTGTAGGACTGGTTCTGTGGAACACACTCGGTCATCAGCAACATACCTTTTAACAGATACATTGGTACCTTACTAAATGACTGTCTGACAGTGTGTATGGTGACTTGTAGGACTGGTTCTGTGGAACACACTCGGTCATCAGCAACATACCTTTTAACAGATACATTGGTACCTTACTAAATGACTGTCTGACAGTGTGTATGGTGACTTGTAGGACTGGTTCTGTGGAACACACTCGGTCATCAGCAACATACCTTTTAACAGATACATTGGTACCTTACTAAATGACTGTCTGACAGTGTGTATGGTGACTTGTAGGACTGGTTCTGTGGAACACACTCGGTCATCAGCAACATACCTTTTAACAGATACATTGGTACCTTACTAAATGACTGTCTGACAGTGTGTATGGTGACTTGTAGGACTGGTTCTGTGGAACACACTCGGTAACATATCAATGAGATCAGTCATCAGCAACATACCTTTTAACAGATCCATTGGTACCTCACTAAATGACAGTCTGACAGTGTGTATGGTGACTTGTAGAAATAATCAACTCATTCCCAGAAATTGAATCAATTACACTTGTTCCGGCTTGAACATTGGTTATTTCTCTCACCTTTCAAGGTCTTGTGAGTCAAAGCTTTGAACTTGCTGACCAGCCAAACTATGGTAACTGGAGCATCAGAGTGGATGCCTTCGTGAGTACTTGGGTTTCTTCAAACTAAAAAGACTACAGTTGGTCTGGGAGGACCCTCTCAGTTCAACTTTAACTTACTTTTATGACATCTATGCAGTGTTTACCAAATTTCATGTTTCTTCCCCCAGGGACACACGTACAGGAAACGGTTTGTTGTGGAAGAATTTTGTAAGTACTTGCTCGCGTGAAGGTGATGCATTAGCAATAGACATTCATTGCTTGATTTTATCATGTGGTCAGATCTTTAACAGCAGATAATCTGATAAAATATAGTGACCCAGAAGAGTTAATGTTTAACTGTCTTTACTATATTTGATTAAAATGAGTTTTAACAGTACAAAAAACAGTGAAAAGAAATTTATGAGTTAATACTAGCATTCCTGTTCTACTGATGTTTTTTCTATTTCTTAGGGGAGCCTCGTTTTGACGTGTACGTCTCAGTTCCCCCATACATTATGGACAACATCCAGATCTTCCAGGGCGTGGTGCTAGCCAAGTAAGTTCATACTTGCACTCCCTTTAAAGTTGACTTTGGAAACCATATCCATTCAAATCAATATTTCTTTTTATGAAAAAAATTGTTAACCCAGAATATGAAGGCGTACACCTGTCTTTAATAATCATATGTTTACAGTCAGACAAGTGGTCGTCCTGTGATCGGCAATGCCTCCATTACGTTGACGTTCAAGCCCAAGCCAGTACCAGGAGTTGACTACACTTATAACCTGCCCTACATTTACAGGTTTATTGAATACGTGAGTAGCATGGCAAAGGTTTCTTGTTAATATTGTGAAATCAGGTGAAATTGAGTTTAGCAGATCTGTGATGAACAAACATGGTCTCTCCTAAACTTGTAAAACTGACTCCAATGTAAACTCTCAAATTTTGTCTTCAACTCTGAATTGGTCTTCAGCAACCCATGTGGCATAAGAGGTGAATAGCGGGATCTAGTTGTCTGGCTCGCTCACTAGGTTGCCACATGTCATCGTATCCAAAATCCAAAGGTCGATGCTCATGCTGTTGATCACTGGAGTGTCTGGTCCAGATTTGATTATTTACAGACTGCCGCCATACAGCTGGAATATTGCTGAGTGCAGCGTTAAACAACAAACTAACAAATGGAAAAAGTCTAGCAAGAGTAACAGGGACAGTGCTCCTGTTTAGGGTTGTGAGTCCGTTTCGTTATAAGTGAGTGAGTTTAGTTTTACACCGCTTTTAGAAATATTACAGCAATATCATGCTGGGGGACACCAGAAACGGCTTTCACACACTGTGCCCATGTGGGGCAGCTAATCCAGGTCCTTGACATGACGAGCAAACGCTTAAACCAGCACCCCACCAGCCCTTATTATAAGACAAATCCAGGTCCTTGACATGACGAGCAAACGCTTAAACCAGCACCCCACCAGCCCTTATTATAAGACAAATCCAGGTCCTTGACATGACGCGCAAACGCTTAAACCAGCACCCCACCAGCCCTTATTATAAGACAAATCCAGGTCCTTGACATGACGAGCAAACGCTTAAACCAGCACCCCACCAGCCCTTATTATAAGACAAATACAGCGTCCTTATCAGTGAAAGAATAAGTATATATTTAAAAAGTAAAAATATACTGAGTCAAAAAAGAAACTTCACAAAATGTAATTTGAAAAATAATGAATAATTTTTCTCTGATGATACATCTATGTATCCGAAATGGGATCCCTATCTTTCGACTCTAGAAAAACGTTAGCAAAACCCACTCAAACCCATCCATTCTTCATATGCACGTGTTTGCATTGGCAGCAAGAATTGAAAAAACACTTTTAAACCACAGTTCTAACGGTACTTGAAATGCCACGATTGTCAAATGTGCAACGTGAACGTGCCGTTGGCATGTTGCAAGCGGGAAGATCAGTTATTGACGCCGCAAGAGCAATGGGATGAACCCGTCGTACTGTGTATGACTTGCGAAGTCGTCTACAACAAACTGGCACCACTTCTGATCGCCCAAGGTCAGGTCGTCCACGTGTGACGTCACGAGCAGAAGACTGTCAAATCGTCCTCCGTCACCTACATGACAGATTTCTGCCGGCTACATGAACCAGGGCTGAGATGTTTAGAGGTCGACTGTCCTCACAGACCAATCGAAATCGGTTGCGGGCTGCCAATCTCCATTCTCGACGTCCATATCGTGGCCAATATTGACGCCGTTTCATCAACGCCAAAGTCTGCTGTGGGCCCAACGCCACCTCCGATGGACCCAGAGAGACTGGAATCGAAGTCGTCTTTAGCGATGAATCAGGTTTACCCTCAGATTCGCGGACGGCAGGCATAGAGTCTGGAGACGACGTCGTGAACGGTATGCCCAATGTTGTGTACAGGAAGTCGACAGATTCGGGGGCGGAAGTTGCATGGTCTGGGGTGCTTTCTGTGGGAACAACCGTTCCCGACTTCTGGTCATCTGTGGAAACCTCACAGCTGCTGCTTACCGCGACCAGGTGCTCACCCCTGAACTCATTCCTTTCATGGCGGCTCATGGCCCAGGTCTACAGTTCCAGCCTGATAATACTCGGCCTCATACCGCGATGTTGACACCATATTTTCTTCAAAACGCAGGAACCAACCTCAGCATTTGCAGGAACTTGGCGCTGCCTTGCAAGAGCAATGGCGCAGAATCCCCAACCACGTGTTCACAAGCATCAGGCAGTCCATGAGGAGACGGTGTTTGGCAGTGGTGAATACGCGGGGCGGCCATACACGATATTGAACTGAGAAATTTCACATTTTTATTCTTGTGACTTTACATTCTGTATACCCATGTTTTGGAACGGCGGTGTAGCCTAATGGAACTGATTATGGCACTGTCAGTGTATCGAGTACATCACACAGATCTCAGCAATGAAATAATAACAATTTAACCATCTTACCATCTCTTGTTCTTTTATAGTGCCCTGAAGAAAGAATGTGAAGTTTCTTTTTTGACTCAGTATATATTTATTATACAATTCAAATTTTCAATACGAAAATATTAATATGACAAAGCTATTATATAGTATTAATACAATTCATTGTGCTTTTTACAAAATATTTTGCATCATGGTCCACAAAGCATAGAAACCAAACTCAGTATAACCAGACATCTTAAAACTTACTAGTTATATACAATTACAGACTGGTGATGAGATGTCAACAATACTGTGACATGTAAACAATAGAATAACGTCATAACGTGACGACAAAATCTGTTTTTAGTAAGTCAAGTCAATATAACTTTTGGTCAGACCTGGGTTGGAGTCAAAATGCTTTTCTGTCGACGAGCACATGACCACCTCTAGACCAATCAGGTAGATGGAAAAATATGCTTACATAATAATTTCAATTATCTGTTACACCATGAGTGTTAGGAAATGTAATAGCATCATTCAGAAGTGTCATAAACTGTAGGAACACATCTAACCATCAGAGCTGCTACTGACAAAACCAGTTGTTAAGCAAACTGCCTTACTGGATCTATATCAACGTTTGCCCTAATACCATGGAAAGGTAAATTATCATTATTAAACTAAATGTACAAATTGCCTGGGCTCAAATATACAGTACTAACTGCAACTAAAACAAATTTTAACAACTTCAAACCTTTACTCAAAATTATGTATACTTGGTAACCACCAAATGCATAAATTCAGCTAAAATGAATACTCAGTAAATACACTGAATTAAACTTTCATCAGTATATCATTTTTTTGTAATTTATTCCTTTTATATTAAACCAAGTGTAACTAACCTGAAATTCACCAATCCAAACACCTTCAAGTAATTATTGACCTCGAAGACACCTTGTCAGGTCGCAAGAGTGAGTGAGTGAGTGAGGATGGTTTTATGCCCATTTTAACAATATTCCAGCAATATCATGGCGAGGACAAAATCTTGTAAAAACATACCCTATCATTGTATTCTGCTCTTTGATTTCACTGCATTGTTTGTACATACTTAATTTACATATCTGGCTTCCTGTACATCTATCTATATACTGTGCTGTTCACTATCACCAGTATCCACCTGAAGAAGGTGCAAGAACTAGAAAAATAAATCAAGAAGTTGTTATCCATAAGATTTATCTTGTATTACTACACCAACTTCTAAATGTCTTTGAAGAATTTCGACAAAATCAGGGCTTCACACATTGTATCCATGGGGGGAATCGAACCTGGGTCTTCAGTGTGGTGAGCGAACATTTTAACCTCTAGGCTACCCCACCACCCCCAGGTCGAGAGAAAGACTACAACTGAACAACTTTCAACATCCAATCAAAATGGTGATGATGTTCAACCATTGAAACTAAAGGGCAAGACAACAGTGTTTGCTCTTAACCCTGAAATGCTGCAGGCCCTAAGGACCAAGAACCATAAAAAGTTGTAGGTCCTGTGGGTCCGAGTGGTTTTCAGTCGCCTTCTGCCCAAAGGACCTACATTAATTTTGAACACTGCAAGACAATAGACCTGACCATTAAATTTGGCTACTTTGCATACTTTTGAGTAGACATCGACTGTAAACTTGCGAAGAGATTAAACCCTTTCACTGACAACAGGATAAATGTTTTAGGTGGTATGAATTAATTACAAAGAAGCAACTAACAGAAGACATAATAAAAAAAATTTATTTTACAGATCTCTTTACAACTATTACAACTATTCTGTACTTGTTATGCAAGAATCACTAATCTAATTGGGAAAAGGCATCTTCCTGAAAATAATGCATCTGATTCTATTTATTACAGCATGTTGGTCGTATCGATTTCCAATTCACCATCAAGGAAATTCGCCAGCTGGCCGACAGAATTATAGCTGGTCAGAATTTAGTGGACTGCGAACTTGTAATGAGTGTCAACGTCTCAGATTGGCATTCTGGTCTGAACCGGACTGGGGTTGCCAGCACCATCATTTTTAACAGCAACGTGAAGCTAAAGTGGGTCGGGGACCACGTACGGACATTCAAGCCAAACTCCATCATAACAGTTGCAGTAAGTGATGAAAACCATTGAGGTCACAGAGACTTCACACACCAGCAGTCTCTGTGTATCAAGATGAGGTGAGGTGAAATTGGGTTTTACGTCGTGCTTGAGAATATTTAGCTCATATGACGACGTGCATTCGTGTGTATGTGTATGTGCGGCTGCTTGTACTAGACGACTTAAGCTGGTTTTATAGTGCTTTAACCACTACACCACGGAGGTGGTTGTATCAAGATGAACAGACGGCCCTGTTGTCGTCAATAGTGTCCGTCCAGGGGACCTGGGCTAATTGATCCCCAGTATAGTACTACATTAAAGGTGTACACTATAATGACGTGTTGGTGTAAATTAACAACTAAATAGTTCCTGCACTTTTCTCTTGTTTTGAGTTGCTTCACTTAGAAGTTCCAGGATCTGCTAATCAAACCTGTAGAATGTTTTGTAGTGAGACTTCCCTCTGATTGTCAGGTCGCCGTGATGAAGTACGATGGGACGCCAGTGGATACACCCAATAAGATCGTGCGTCTGTACTCCTCCATGTCTAACTCGGGGTCCTGCCCAGCTGCGGTACGATCAGCCAGTGGACAAGTCACCTGTAGGAGGCATCGTGGAGTTCGAGGTGTATGCTGATACAGAGGTCAAGGGCATGATGCTGGAGGTAGGCTGGCTACAGGAACACTGTCTTGTTTGTTCCATGACTGAAAGCTTATTTACACTTGGAAAAACAAGGAAAGATAACTCCAACTCCAACTTGATTTTCTACGATTTAAACAATAACATATTTCCAAAGGATAACCATTTGTAGATATAGAACATCAGATGTTGCAGATACAGGGAAAATATTTCTAGTTATTTTATGTCCTTCTTTTCCAGGCCGAATATGACAATGATCCTACAACTCGTATTCAACTCCGCGGAACGCGATTCTTCTCTCAAAACCAGAGTTACATCACCATAGCAACCTCAACAGACAACCCAAAAGTAAGAACTAAATGTTGATTCAATGAACAAGCAAGAGATTAATCAGAGTTCTCAGCAATAGAAATTCTTTTCAATTGTTTCCAGGTGTTGAGTTTGCTGAGAGAGTGACACCATAGTAATATTGCTGACTGCAGCACAAATAACTTTCACATACTCATCTAAAGTCAGTCTCTCGTTCACCTGCAATTGTACAGACACACCTGTAATCAATCACACACACTCACCTATATTCAGTACCACACGCATACCTGTAATCAGTCACACTCACCTATATTTAGTACCACACACACCTGCAATCAATCACATACACCTATATTCAGTACCACACACACACCTGTAATCAATCACACACACCTACATTCAGTTGCACAGACACACCTGTAATCAATCAGTCACACTCACATATATTCAGTACCACACACACACCTGTAATCAATCACACACACTTATAATCAGTTGCACAGACACACCGGAATCAATCACACACTCTTACCAGTCAATCACAATATCAATAGTAATCATTCACTCTCTTACCTTTAATCAGTCCCCATTTACCTATAATCAAGCATACACATTCACCTGTAATCAGTTGTTCACACTCCCTGTCATTCACACTCACCTGTAATCATTTACACACTCAGTTATAATCAGTTACAGACACTCACCTGCAGTCAAGTGCTTACAATTTTCTGCAGTCACACACATTTACCTGTAATGTATCACTCATATTCACCTGTCTATCTGTCACATACTCACCTGTAATTAATTGTATTCAACAGGTCAATGAAAACATGATCTTCCATGTGGAGACCAGCAACTTTGTTTCAAAGATTTTCTACCTGGTACAGTGGTTTTCTTTCATTATTTAACCTGCCAATCTGATGCTGTTTTGGTCATTTTTCTACATAATTGTATTGCATGTTCTAAATCTCGAAGATGGATCTGCATTTTTCAAGACCTTTGTTATTTTCCCCTATCTTTGCTAGATATTTACATTTAAGATAAGAGAGGTTGTTTTGTCACTAAAAGCTAGGACTTGTTTTTGCAGAAGGCCTTGTTGAAAAGCTAAATAATGTAATGTGATCTTATACTTCTATTACAGGTGGTGTCAGGGGGAAACATCATCATTGGAGATGAGCTGGAGATGACGTCAAGGCAGAAGACATTTGCCATAGCGTTGTCCCGGGAGATGATCCCCACGGCCAGGATGGTTGTGTATTATCTGCAACAACCAGAGGAGATTGTAGTCGATGTCCTCAACTTCTTCGTCAACGGAACCAGACAGAACCAGGTAAATCCGTACCCTTGTTTTATTGGCCTGTCAGGATGGTTGTGTATTATCTGAAACAACCAGAGGAGATTGAGGTCAATGTCCTCAACTTCTTCGTCAACAGAACCAGGTAAATCCAACCCTTGTTTTATTGGCCTGTCAGGATGGTGTATTACAGGGTACCTTTGCCTTCATTCATTGTCTGGAAGGTTTTGTCAGTAAGATGTCACAAGGTACCTTGGTAGGTGTTAATCGTCTGGGAGGTTCCATGGATAAGAGGTCACAGGGTACATTTGTATGTCTTCATCTAGAAAGTTTCGTGGACAAGAGGTCACAGGGTACCTTAGTATGTCTTTATTGTCTGGAAGGTTTCATAGACAAGAGACCACAGGGTACCTTGGTATGTCTTCCTTGTCTGGAAGGCTTCAAGGACAAGAGGTCACAGGGTACCTTGGTATGTCTTCATGGTCTGGAAGGTTTCAAGAACAAGAGACCACAGGGTACCTTGGTTTGTCTTCATCTAGAAGGTTTCAAGGACAAGAGGTTACATCGTCATATGAGCGAAATATTCTCAAGCACGACGTTAAACCCAATTTCACCTCACCTCCTAAGAGGTTACAGGATACCTTGGTATGTCTTCATCTAGAAGGTTTCAAGTACAAGAGACCACAGGGTAGCTTGTTATGTCTTCATGGTCTGGAAGGTTTCAAGGACTAGAGGTCACAGGGTACCTTGGTATGTCTTCCTTGTCTGGAAGGTTTCAAGGACAAGAGGTCTGGTATGAAGGTCTGGAAGGTTTCAAGGACAAGAGGTCACAGGGTACCTTGGTATGTCTTCCTTGTCTGGAAGGTTTCAAGGACAAGAGGTCACAGGGTACCTTGGTATGTCTTCATGGTCTGGAAGGTTTCAAGGACAAGAGGTCACAGGATACCTTGGTATGTCTTCCTTGTCTGGAAGGTTTCAAGGACAAGAGGTCACAGGGTACCTTGGTATGTTTTCATGGTCTGGAAGGTTTCAAGGACAAGAGGTCACAGGGTACCTTAGTATGTTTTCATGGTCTGGAAGGTTTCAAGGACAAGAGGTCACAGGGTACCTTGGTATGACTTCATGGTCTGGAAGGTTTCAAGGACAAGAGGTCACAGGGTACCTTGGTATGTCTTCCTTGTCTGGAAGGTTTCAAGGACAAGAGGTCACAGGGTACCTTGGTATGTCTTCCTTGTCTGGAAGGTTTCAAGGACAAGAGGTCACAGGGTACCTTGGTTTGTCTTCCTTGTCTGGAAGGTTTCAAGGACAAGAGGTCACAGGGTACCTTGGTATGTCTTCCTTGTCTGGAAGGTTTCAAGGACAAGAGGTCACAGGATAATGTCTTCCTTGTCTGGAAGGTTTCAAGGACAAGAGGTCACAGGGTACCTTGGTTTGTCTTCCTTGTCTGGAAGGTTTCAAGGACAAGAGGTCACAGGGTACCTTGGTATGTCTTCCTTGTCTGGAAGGTTTCAAGGACAAGAGGTCACAGGATACCTTGGTATGTCTTCATGGTCTGGAAGGTTTCAAGGACAAGAGGTCACAGATTACCTTGGTATGTCTTCATTGGCTGGAAGGCTTCAAGGACAAGAGACCACAGCGTACCTTGGTATGTCTTCATTGCCTGGGAGGTTTCAAGGACAAGAGGTCACAGAGTACCTTGTTATGTCTTCATTGGCTGGGAGGCTTCAAGGACAAGGTCACAGTTTACCTTGGTATGTCTTCATTGCCTGGAAGGTTTCAAGGACAAGAGGTCACAGGGTACCTTGGTATGTCTTCATTGGCTGGAAGGCTTCAAGGACAAGGTCACAGGGTACTATGTTATTATGTAGGTAGGATGACAATGCAACTCAGACGTCAGCATGTTCAGAATTCTCTTCAAATGTCACAAGTTGTTTGTTATTTCAGCATAAGACCTCTGACTAGTGAGTTGTGGGATCATATCCATTTCTAGTGAAGTACAGTTCTCTTAGTCTTAAGTACAGTACAGTTAACTTGAATATACCGTTTCCTAGTTTAACCTGAACACACTGCTCTCTTGGTAAACACAAATATACTGCTCTACCATTTATCTTGAACATACTACTCTATAGTTTAACATGAATATACTGCTTTCTGTTTTACTTGAATACTCTACTCTAGTGTAACAAGAATATACAACTCTCTGGTTCAACTTGAAAACACTACTCTCTTGTTTTACCTGAATATACATGTTTATAGTTTAACATAAATATGCTGCTGTCTAGTTTAACTTGAATATACTCCTCCCTAATTGAACTTTCATATACTACTGTTTTGATAACTTTCATAATTAGTATTCTGGTTTAAAATGAATATACTGCTCCCCAACTTATAGTGCTCTCTTAATATATTAACCTAAATGTATTGCTCTCTAGTTCAACTTTCATTTCCAGCCCCAAATGATCAGCTAAAATTGACAAACACATATTTTTTACTCCCATTTCCCACTCATTCCCCATCTCTCATGTTTTCAGGTCACACTAGAAATCAACCGAGGCAAGGACTTCAGCCGTGACACTATTGAGTTTAATGCCTGGGCCGACCCTGGCTCATATGTTGCCTTCGCAGGCGTGCCCGTGGACTTGTACAATCGGGGAATGGATGACGGCATCAGTGAAAAAAAACTTATGTAGTACAGGAAATTATGAACAATGATATTGAGCTATTGATTTTCCAGAGTTTAGTGAAATATATTTTCACTGTTTGTCTGCCACATGACTCTGTCATTTAAAGTGACATGTAAATGATTGAGTTTGGACTTGACAAGCCAGTGATCAATATTTATGATCCACGCCATTATGGGACAATGACAGCTTAAGGCACTGATGCTGACCACCATTAAGTAAAGATATTATATTTCTGAAACTGTGGTCCTCCATGTTGTCCTCCCTGCAAGATATCTCCATGTGGTCCTCCCTGCAAGATATCTCCATGTGGTCCCCATTCGCTGGTACTTATGTTCAGGTTGTTGGAGAATGTGGCCTGGCCGATGATGAGAATTGGTGCTCATGATGTCGACCACTGATTTATCTCTCACAGACTTGGTCAGTTATTGTGTGAAAGGCTGCAATGATGCTGACAATATGTAAGGCTTGAGTAAACCTGAAAACATCTGATATTGGGATTGTTTTGATTTTGTTCAGCTGATCGATGAGCTGGGGACTTATGACCAGCCAGCCAATGGCAGCTACCGCCATCTGTGGAGAATCAGCGACACAGAGTATGAGTACAAGTTCTTCCATGCCTCCGACTACGGCATAGACACCAACACAACATTCAAGGTGATCACTGTTGTACAGAGGACACTTCACCAGTGATCCATTGGTGTTTCCTCCATTAAACTTACATTGTGGGATGGGTCTATCTATTTCAAGTGCAGCAGAATCTGTCCTCTGTCATGGTAGACTGTAACACGTGTACAGAATTATTCAGACAGATTGCTTTAGAAACTCCTCGAATCAGCACATGTAGAACTCCCCGTCTGTGGCACCTCTCTGGTGCTTGTAGGTCTCACCAAAGTGACAAATGTCTGACAAGCTAAATAGAAGTAACATTGTCACAACTCCATGTCATTCTTTAATAAGTTTTAGTTAAATGATCCTTGTCCGTGTTTCAGACGTCTGGCCTCCTCATACTGACAGATGCAGATGTTGGAAGGCTTAACAGTAAGTAAATAGGATCCAGAGTGGCATGGAATATCAGCAAATTAATGTCTGCTTTTACAAATACAATATAACGAGCTTAAAACCTGTATCACTCACTCACTGACTGCCGTCTGTTTATCTGTCCTCAGATGTACAATCCTGTGAGGAGCAGGGTCAGTTCCCCTGTTATACTGTAGACTCCTGTTACACGAGGGAGCAAATATGCGATAAAGTCTTCACTTGTCCTGACGGTGCGGATGAGCAGGGATGTAAGTCATCTTTACTTCAGAATGTTACAAACCCAAGGAGATAACCTGTGTCCCAAGTTCAGGGATGTAAGTCATCTTTACTTCACAATGTTACAAACCCATGGAGATAATCTGTGTCCCAAGTTCAGGGATGTAAGTCATCATTACTTCACAATGTTACAAACCCATGGAGATAATCTGTGTCCCAAGTTCAGGGATGTAAGTCATCTTTACTTCACAATGTTACAAACCCATGGAGATAATACTGTTTGTGTATATTCTCCAGTATAAAACACTGCATGAGAAGTACATCCTTATAAATTTATATATCTAGTATACTACTCAACAGCTTATGATACTGAGATGTTTCATACAGTCAAGATGCTCAAAATTAAATATATTGAATATATACACCTGTTATTTTAATTTTATTTGTATTGCAACATTATATGTGTGTACTTATCTTTAATATGCACATTACAAGGTCTGATGACCAAATTCCCAAAGTGCTGGTTGTATTTGAAATAGTAAGGATGATCAGACACGTGTTGTCATCTGTTCAAAGCAGAGAATTTGGTGATTAAAAAGACAGGTAATTTGCATGATCAGACACATGTTGTCTGCAGGTGTAGAAATTGGGGCCTGTGTTTGAAATAGTAACAATGATCACACACTTGTTATCATCTGTTTCAAGCAGATAATTTGGTCATAACCTTGATGTATAATTTGCATGACAATTTACACATTGGTTTTGAAGGCACATACGAAGATAATCAAGTATGGCATGCATCTGCCATGAATAGAGTGAGCAGAATTATGCGTTTCTATGACAACAGTTCCTGGGCTTGGCAGGAAATCTTTGTTAAGTAAGTAGAAGTGATTATATACCTGAGTATAAACACACTTGAATTTCTTCGTTTCTTTTTTTGTTCTATGCATAATTCAGATTTCACTGTTTTTAGTCTTAATTTGCTTAAGTTGCATATTAAAGCAATTGAGAAGTGAAAAGTTAATCTATTTCAGTTCATACTCAGAGGACGATTTAGAGATAGTCTCAGCAACATATCAATATGGTGTGAATTGTAAACTTAAATATTTGAGTAAACATTGTATTTTTTAGGGCTGTACTCCTTTTCAGCTAATTCCAGGCGAACATGCTCCTGACGTTAAAAAATCATCTGGTAAACTGTGAAAGCAAATTGTATTTGGAGAAGTAACAAGCTGGTATTTTTCATGTTCACTGGACAGTGTTGAATGGTCTTAGTAAGATATAAATATGAATTAATAGTAAACTTAAATATATGATCAAACATTGCTCCTCTCCAGACCTGACGGACGTGTAGATTTCCGTGTGGATGTTCCTAAGTACCCTCTCTCGTGGGTGATCAATGGCCTGTCCGTGAGCAGAGAACTTGGTCTTGGAATCATGCAGAGACCAGTCCTGGTGGGTAGCCTTGAAGCAAGGGAGATTACTTCTGAACCATGGAGCATGGGAGATAACTTTTAAGATTTACTTGAACTGTTCATAAAGATCTGTATTGTCTTTGGTTATATGTAACCTACCAATGAATATATTTAATCATTGAAAACATTAGAACCAAGTTTAAATATTTGTCCCAACTCTTGCTGGAAGCCATGATTTTGATGTCAAGTAAAAATTTATTTTCCTTCTGATGGTCCATGGTGTCTCTTTTCAGTATGATGCTGCCCGTTACATGTACATCCAAGTAGAAGCACCTGAAACCATTGTGAGAGGAGAGCAGATTGGAGTGAGAGTCACTGTCTTCAACTACTGGTACAATGATGACTACATTGAGGTCAGTGGAAGCTCTTTCCGTAGGATAATGTTTTGAGTGAAATAGGTCCACTTATTCCCTTTCCAAATTAGGTATGAGCAGCATTTGCTTCAGTGTAGTGCGCTGACACGCAGTCATCCTGTCTGTAAGATGTCTTTGTTGTCAACCATTATACAAACTCAGCCATCGTTAAGGCCACAGTTTCTACCTGGATACTGCAGTTGTCTACCTTGAGCCAGGACCTGTGAAGATCTGAGTTAGAATTGGTCTTCAAAAACCCATGCTTGTCCTAAGAGGTGACTAATGGGATCAGGTGGTCAGTTTGCTGGCTTGGTTGACACAGGTCATTGTATCCCAACTGCGTAGATTGATGCTTATGCTAATGATCACTTGATTGTCGGGTTCAGACTTGATGACTTGACTTGATAGAAGCCAGTAATGACCAACTGACTTCCATTAATGGCTTCTATCCACATCTGCTAATCACTTGAACAAACCCTTGTGTATCTAACTCTTTCATCTCCCGTTTCTTATCCAATTTATTGTATATACATGCAACACTGGCTTTTTGTACATTCAGTATACATACTCATTGATGTATCTTGTTTGTTACAATTCACCTGACGAAGGTGCAAGCAATAGCCCAGAAACGTTGTGACATACAATAAAGAAGGCATTGTCATCCACAATATTTGCCTTTTTGCCTCTCAAGAACCTTGAGCCAGATAGTCCCAAACCAACCAACACCCACATTCCACAACCCCCACATACCAGATTTCACCAAACTCCTACATCCACAATTCCCCTACCTTTGTAGCACCAAACCAACCAACCAACCTGCCCACATACCAGGTCTCACCAAACTCCTACATCCCCAATCCCCCTACCTTTGTAGCACCAAACCAACCAACCAACCTCCACATACCAGGTCTCACCAAACTCCTACATCCCCAATCCCCCTACCTTTGTAGCACAAAACCAACCAACCAACCCCCACATAACAGGTTTGACCAACCTCCTACATCCCCAATCCCCTTCCCTTTGTAGCACCACACCAACCAACCAACCCCCACATACCAGATTTCTGCCAAACTCCTACATCCCCTAATCCCCTCTACCTTTGTAGCACCAAACCAACCAACCAACCCCCACATACCAGGTCTCACCAACCTCCTACATCCCCTATCCCCCTACCTTTGTAGCACCAAAACCAACCAACCCCCACATACCAGGTATCACCAAACTCCTACATCCCTAACCCCCTACCTTTGTAGCACCAAACCAACCAACCAACCCCCACATACCAGGTTTGACCAACCTCCTACATCCCCAATCCCCTTCCCTTTGTAGCACCAAAACAACCAACCAACCCCCACATACCAGATTTCACCAAACTCCTACATCCCCCTAATCCCCTACCTTTGTAGCACCAAACCAACCAACCCCCACATACCAGGTCTCACCAACCTCCTACATCCCCAATCCCCTACCTTTGTAGCACCAAACCAACCAACCAACCCCCACATACCAGGTCTCACCAAACTCCTACATCCCCAACCCCTACCTTTGTAGCACCAAACCAACCAACCAACGCCCACATACCAGGTCTCACCAAACTCCTACATCCCCAATTCCCCTACCTTTGTAGCACCAAACCAACCAACCAACTAACTCCCCTAACATACCAGGTTTGACCAACCTCCTACATCCACAATTCCCCTACCTTTTGTAGCACCAAACCAACCAACTCGCACATACCAGGTTTGACCAACCTCCTACATCCACAATTCCCCTACCTTTGTATCACCAAACCAACCAACCCCCATACCAGGTCTCACCAACCTCCTACATCCACAACCCCCCTACCTTTGTAGCACCAAACCAACCAACCAACCCCCACATACCAGGTCTCACCAACCTCCTACATCCCCAATCCCCCTACCTTTGTAGCACCAAACCAACCAACCAACACCCACATACCAGGTCTCACCAAACTCCTACATCCCCAATTCCCCTACCTTTGTAGCACCAAACCAACCAACCAACGCCCACATACCAGGTCTCACCAAACGCCTACATCCCCAATTCCCCTACCTTTGTAGCACCAAACCAACCAACCAACCCCCACATACCAGGTTTGACCAACCTCCTACATCCACAATTCCCCTACCTTTGTAGCACCAAACCAACCAACCTCGCACATACCAGGTTTGACCAACCTCCTACATCCACAATTCCCCTACCTTTGTATCACCAAACCAACCAACCCCCATACCAGGTCTCACCAACCTCCTACATCCACAACCCCCCTACCTTTGTAGCACCAAACCAACCAACCAACCAACCCCAACATTCCAGGTTTGACCAAACTCCTACTTCCACAATCCCCCTACCTTTGTAGCACCAAACCAACCAACCAACCCCAACATTCCAGGTTTGACCAAACTCCTAGCTACATCCACAATCCCCCTACCTTTGTAGCACCAAACCAACCAACCGACCCCCAACATTCCAGGTTTGACCAAACTCCTAGCTACATCCACAATCCCCCTACCTTTGTAGCACCAAACCAACCAACCAACCCCAACATTCCAGGTTTGACCAAACTCCTACTTCCACAATCCCCCTACCTTTGTAGCACCAAACCAACCAACCAACCCCAACATTCCAGGTTTGACCAAACTCCTAGCTACATCCACAATCCCCCTACCTTTGTAGCACCAAACCAACCAACCCCCATACCAGGTCTCTCCAACCTCCTACATCCACAACCCCCCTACCTTTGTAGCACCAAACCAACCGACCAACCCCAACATTCCAGGTTTGACCAAACTCCTACTTCCACAATCCCCCTACCTTTGTAGCACCAAACCAACCAACCAACCTCAACATTCCAGGTTTGACCAAACTCCTACATCCCCAATCCCCCTACCTTTGTAGCACCGAACCAACCAACCAACCCACACATACCAGGTCTCACCAACCTCCTACATACCCAATCCCCCTACCTTTGTAGCACCAAACCAACCAACTCGCACATACCAGGTTTGACCAACCTCCTACATCCACAATTCCCCTACCTTTGTATCACCAAACCAACCAACCCCCATACCAGGTCTCACCAACCTCCTACATCCACAACCCCCCTACCTTTGTAGCACCAAACCAACCAACCAACCAACCCCAACATTCCAGGTTTGACCAAACTCCTACTTCCACAATCCCCCTACCTTTGTAGCACCAAACCAACCAACCAACCCCAACATTCCAGGTTTGACCAAACTCCTAGCTACATCCCCAATCCCCCTACCTTTGTAGCACCAAACCAACCAACCAACACCCACATACCAGGTCTCACCAAACTCCTACATCCCTCTAATTCCCCTACCTTTGTAGCACCAAACCAACCAACCAACGCCCACATACCAGGTCTCACCAAACGCCTACATCCCTAATCCCCTACCTTTTGTAGCACCAAACCAACCAACCAACCCCCACATACCAGGTTTGACCAACCTCCTACATCCACAATTCCCTACCTTTGTAGCACTAAACCAACCAACTTGGGTGCACATACCAGGTTTGACCAACCTCCTACATCCACAATTCCCCTACCTTTGTATCACTAAACCAACTAACCCCCATACCAGGTCTCACCAACCTCCTACATCCACAACCCCCTACCTTTTGTAGCACTAAACCAACCAACCAACCAACCCCAACATTCCAGGTTTGACTAAACTCCTACTTCCACAATCCCCTACCTTGTAGCACCAAACCAACCAACCAACCCTAAACATTCCAGGTTTGACCAAACTCCTAGCTACATCCACAATCCCTCTACCTTTGTAGCACCAAACCAACCAACTGACCCCTAACATTCCAGGTTTGACCAAACTCCTAGCTACATCCACAATCCCCCTACCTTTGTAGCACCAAACCAACCAACCAACCCCAACATTCCAGGTTTGACCAAACTCCTACTTCCACAATCCCTCTCTACCTTTGTAGCACCAAACCAACCAACCAACCCCAACATTCCAGGTTTGACCAAACTCCTAGCTACATCCACAATCCCCCTACCTTTGTAGCACCAAACCAACCAACCCCCATACCAGGTCTCTCCAACCTCCTACATCCACAACCCCCCTACCTTTGTAGCACCAAACCAACTGACCAACCCCTAACATTCCAGGTTTGACCAAACTCCTACTTCCACAATCCCCTACCTTTTTGTAGCACCAAACCAACCAACCAACCTCAACATTCCAGGTTTGACCAAACTCCTACATCCCCAATCCCTCTACCTTTGTAGCACTGAACCAACCAACCAACCCACACATACCAGGTCTCACCAACCTCCTACATACCCAATCCCCTACCTTGTAGCACCAAACCAACCAACTCCCTGCACATACCAGGGTTTGACCAACCTCCCTACATCCACAACCCCTACCTTTGTATCACCAAACCAACCAACCCCATACCAGGTCTCACCAACCTCCTACATCCACAACCCCCTACCTTTGTAGCACCAAACCAACCAACCAACCAACCCCCCAACATTCCAGGTTTGACCAAACTCCTACTTCCACAATCCCTCTACCTTTTGTAGCACCAAACCAACCAACCAACCCCTAACATTCCAGGTTTGACCAAACTCCTAGCTACATCCACAATCCCCCTACCTTTTGTAGCACCAAACCAAACCAACCAACCCTAACATTCCAGGTTTGACCAAACTCCTAGCTACATCCATAATCTACCTTTGTAGCACCAAACCAACCAACCAACCCTAACATTCCAGGTTTGACCAAACTCCTACTTCCACAATCCCCCCTACCTTTGTAGCACCAAACCAACCAACCAACCCCAACATTCCAGGTTTGACCAAACTCCTAGCTACATCCACAATCCCCTACCTTTGTAGCACCAAACCAACCAACCCCTATACCAGGTCTCTCCAACCTCCTACATCCACAACCCCCTACCTTTGTAGCACCAAACCAACTGACCAACCC